TAGTTGACTTTTTTTTATTCATTCAAGTATATCCATTTTTTCTTGTATTAATATTGTTTTTTGCATATTAGTAAATTTGGATAGATAAATAACCCATGATTGAATTAGTGCATATTCTAAGACAATAAATTTCCCCATCCCCCCTCACACAAACAAATCCCATAAAAACATAACAAGGGAAGAACACGCAGGTCTACTCCCCCATACAAGGGGCCTACAAAATGCCCTCTCCCCAAAAGCTACCCAAGATTTACTCCCGTACCCAATGACACAAATAAAAACTCGGCTCCCCCAAACCATATTTTTTTCCAATCTTTTCTTAAGCTACCCAAGGTCCTAGCCTCGATCCCCCTAGGTAAGTGTGAGTTAAAAAGAGCTTAAAAAGTAGGAACACGGGAAAACAGGCCTGCGGCCCATACTGGGCCGGTCCTTCACAAACCCAAACCCACTAACAGAACAAATGCACCCCAAACAATAAGCTCAGGGGCAAGTCCCCCAAAACCCAACCCCTCTCACTCGTGTATTTACCAACCTAAAATTTGAAATACCCCGTGTTTTAGCTTCGTCCCCTACTGGGGAACTGTTCCACTCTCAATACCCCCATTACCCGTTCATTTATACATTTTATTAGTGCCCTAGATCCCTTTTGGAGGGGATTCCCCTTCCAAATAACCCTCTTCCCCCTCTCCTCCTCCATTCAACAAAACAGCCCTTTAAAAAAGGTAAGTCATGTTGAATGTTTATTCTTTTTTGCATGTCTGGAACGAAATTAAATTGGGTTTACATTATTTCTTAGGGGGGAAAATTTATTCGAAAATTGGGGCCATTTCGATAATAGTCCACTTCCAGGAAAAGGATTATGGACGATATTGAGGGGGCTACGTACTTATATTTTTCAGCCCCCTTTTTGTTACAAAAAATTTCTGTAAAAATTCAATCAAGAAATAGACAGTTAAAATTTATTTTCCCAGATGTAAATATTGTTTTGATGCAATATTCTGCAAAGAAAAATGCCTGAGCTTGGACAAACATGGCACCCTATGAATGGGAAACTCATATTTTTTTCATCTGTGGGGAATTTCTCCCTTCTGTCCGGGGCTTCTTTTAACAGGATGGGAAACGTTGTTGTATATCGGGATTTTGATAAAGTAAAAAGTGTAAAATTTGATTTTTACACAGTACATACATCATATTTTTGTCATTCAATGGTGACTTTCTTTCAAGTGGTTATCGTGTTGCTGGTGAAAGGGTCTTGGTCTAAAGAATCAGGGTACCATCCTTTTCTTTGGATCGAGTTTGATTACCTCCCAGTTTCCAGTTGCTGCATGGCCAATATGGATTTAGCACTTTCTTGTGATTGTAATAATTCACAGCTATTTGCCTTTAAAAAATTAATTTAATATGTTTTTGTACTTTGTCATCCAAGCTGGTATCTTTTTTGGTTCAACATTGACTATGTTGTTGAGGTCATCAACCAGATCTGGAATGGAGATGATACAGGTGATGTTCACAAAACTTTCTGAGTTCGGGCAGTGATGCTCTTGACCATTTTTGTGTTTTCTTTGCCTTAACCCCTTCAGGGTCCAAGGCCAAAATCTGAAGTGGTGTTCCAGTGTCCAAGAAATTTTGAAAAAAAAAAAAATTATTTTTCTTACAGAATTAAAGAGCATATTTTTGTGAAGGTAATAAGACAAAAAAAAAAATCTGATCAGTACTTACCGAGATACAGTGCCAAGAAGTTTGTCAAAAATGATGTGGTGGCGGCAACATCGACGAATTCCACATACGCGCATTACATTATTTTGCGGTTTTTATTGTTTTTTCTTTTCTTTTCCAATTTTTTCTATTCCTACTAACATTTGGGGCCTGAGAGACCAATACTGTATATAATGTATATATATAAACTCACTGTATTGAACACAATAACCGCACTAAAGTTATTATCATATTATTGTTTACCACTGTTGTTTATTACAATAAAACATGCACAAATCTTGTATAATACTATGTTCTATCATATATTTACATATTTACAATCACTGGACATGGTTTTAGAACTGCTGGAGCTTGTGGAACTCCTTGAAACAAGGCACCATGCACAGAGGCACCTTACATTCCTCACACAAACCGAGTGTCTTTGCATCTTGTTGCCATCGTTTTGTTTGGTGCACAGACGAATGCATCTCTTCTGAGCAAATTTCTTCTGAGTTGAAGGAAGTTGTATTATGAAATGATCACCTCCCTCCTCAAACGCTTGGGTATATCCTGAGGAATTCGAGGACCTTGTTGTATAGCAGGTGTTCTTACCTGGTACTTCATTATGAGTTGTCTGACAACAGACAAACAAAATTCACCATACTGTGGTCTGTTGCCAGTCTTTATTGGTACATATTATATGCATTGAGCATTGAAATGTCCATGAGATGGAAGAAAAGTTTCATGTACCACTTGTAACTCTTACGAACACAGTCAACAAAACCAATCTGCATGTCACATTTGTCAACCAAGCGCATGTTTTGTGTATATCAATCACTGTCACTGGTTTTCGAATACGTTCATTAGTCACTCGATCAACTTTGCCACTGTCTTGCATTTCATTACGGTGAATGGTTTGTCAACAATGTGACATCTCGTTTGTCATGCCACCGTAATGCCATGATGTCATGGCAGTAAACACCTGCACGTCATCACAACGAGCACCTGCATTGAGCCTGGGTATATGTTTACGATTAGAACACACTGTGCCACACACATCTGTCTTGTTCACTGCATGAAATCACTGAGTAATGGGCTTGTGTACCAGTTATCGGTATATAATGTATGCCCCTTACCAAGATAAGGTGCCATCATGTTTCTCACTACGTCACTGAGATACCAATAACATCTTGGTATCTTTCAATGTTTTACTACCCGTGTATACAACAATATCCAACACCAGGCCACTGTCACAATCACAGAGTACAAACAGTTTTATACCAAAGCGTTTTCCTCTTGCTCGGTATATACTGCTTGAATGACAGTCTACCTTTGAACAAAATCAAAGACCTCGTCAATTACAAGATTCTTGAATGGGATAAAAGTATATCCTGAACTTTTGTTTGAGATACATGAAAACATTCTAATCTTGTATAACCTGTCACTTCTGTCAGGCCTGGTTTTGTCAGAGAAGTGCAACATACGTAAGAGTAAGATAAACCTGTTCACTGGTATGATTTCACTGAAGACCGGGGGTAGAAATTAGCCGATCTGTGGACCAGTATGCTTTTATATTATGCTTATAGACGTGAGGCATAAGCATTATTGTTGCAAAAAGCAAATGCATTTCTGCAACAGTCGTCTCTTTCCACCTGTGTAGTCTTGACTGTGGTGATAAGATCGTATTTGCCATGGTGTACTCAAAATACTTATTACTTTCCCTGACAATAATTTCCATCAATGGCTGGTCAAAGAATAATTCAAAGAATTCCAGTTCATTGGCCGTGGTTCCAAGGGGACAAGTAGGTAGAATTCCACTTTGAGAGTCATCAAAGTGGCGAGGCTTGGGAACAAAATTGGGATTTTGCTGCCAATCCCACATACGGTTTGCTGGTGGATACTGGACATCATAGGGTGGTTGTGGTGGGCTGGTGGCTGGTGCTCCGCTTTGTCCTTGAACTGACGAGTCAGCAGCGTGGGTCCCAGCGTGGCCTGGTGAGTCACGCATGGCGGTGCCACTACCATCACCACTAACACCATCCACTGATGCCTGTGGTCTATCCATGCCAAGGGTAGCCACATCATCCTCGCTATCACTACCTAAAACTGGTGTAGGGCCACGGGATGTACTCCGGAATGTACTCCGTCCCCTGGGCACAGTATAGGGTACTCTACCCGAGCGCATGCGGCGGCGAACATACCGACGCTTCACTGGTGAATATGATTCCTCACTATCACTACTCGAATGATCGTCGAGCGCAATAAAATCACAATCCACGTCACTATCATCATCATTACTGAAGTCAGAGGCCTGGCCACGCGAAAATATTAGTTTTCTCTTGTGTTGAGGAACAACCGACCGTGAGTCACGAGTGCCCACACCAGAGGTAGAAGGTTGAGGATCGTCAGGGTTTTCTGCACTATTATCGATATCCTGGTCATTCTTTTCGGTCACTAACTGATCAAAGCCATAGAATTCGTCTTCATTTCCACTTCCATCAGTGTCAGAACTATCAGATAGGAAGAGGAGAGTCCCAATTTTCCGGGGAGTGAGAGCTGACTTGCGATGAGGCATGGTGAACAAGGGTAACTGAGCCAGCGTTCCCACAATGCTATGCGGGCGCCTAGATTTTTTGTTTATGGCGCACACCCACCATGCAGACCCGTTCTCTCACATGTAGGCCTATGAGCATTTTCGCCCTAAATTTGACGGCGCTAGAATTTTGGCATAGATCTACGGTTTGGACACTCAACGTGAAGCCGTAGATCTACGGGACGGACCCTGAAAGGGTTAATGGTAAATAAGAGAAAACACTGAAAAATTTATGGACATAATTTAAGCAGTAAAATTTCAGGCATTATGCCAGCAAAGATCATATACAGGCTGGCCCTACTTTACAGCATTTTGCTAATGCAGCAATTTTCAGTTATATCCATTCTTCATTTATTGAGACTTCCTGCAATAAATATATTCACTACCTACTATAAGTTAAGGATGCAAATATATTAATGTGTGTGTACTGTATATGCATTTTTTAGGTCTAGCTCTATTATACACTTAATATATGATAGTGTAAAAATATTATCAGGCTTTTATATGCATTTGAAAGTGGAAGAAAAGGCTGTTTCACTTAGTGATTTTTCACTTCACAGTAGTAGCCCAAAACCTAACCTGCTATATAAGTGGGGACCTCCTGTATTGGTAACAATGAGTTGTTCATGAACGTCTTACTTGTTATTCATTTATACATGTGTGTGAAGCTGAGATTGGGAGTTCCCATGATGATCTGCTTGAACTTAAGCTGTTTAAATAATTTTCTGAAATATGGTCTCGTGTTCTTTACATAAACGTGAACTAACAAACAAGAAATTCATAAACATACAGTTGTTTACTTCACCGATATTTGTGGTGCATTTTAAATTATACCTAGTGGTTTTTAATCAAAATGTGTTTTATTGATTTTATTTTCAGGCATGAGGAATTGGAAGACAGAATGGAAGGAGTAGGAAAAAATGGTGTTTATAATGGTAGGGATCTAAGTGATGGATATAGGGCAGTGTATCATCTTATGCCCCACTTTAATAGGTGTCTTCCAGAAGATCAGCTTCAGTACTGTCTGGTGAGTTTCAGCCCAATTGGCTATAAATCATGAGCATTTGCGATGCATAGGGTCTGCTTTTATGTGCATAAGATAAATTCCAAATTTTCTTACCTTTTTAATATATATAATTCTGTAAGGGGGGGAACAGGTGGCTTCATTTTAATTTCTTAGGTTATCCTGGGATAAAAATAAGTTTATGCTGTTACGTATATACTTTTAATGTGTCCAAAACACGTGTGCCGTCAAGGCCATTGTGAAAAATGTATGTATGCTATATACACATCCCTTATACATAAATGCAGAGTGTCATATTTACATGTCCTGCTGAGTCATTGTGCTTCATGGTGCTCTACATGGACCTGCCTGGCTCTACATTTACATATTTTCTAGGTGTAACAAGGTGGCAGCAAATTTGAGGCATTATGCACAGTTAAAGAATTAGAGTGTACGTCTATGTTAACATGGATAAAGTTTTTTTTTCAACACGCCAGCCTTATCCCACCAAGGCAAGGTGACCTAAGAAGAAAAATGGCATTTTTTTTTTTTTTTTAATTTAGTAATTTATACAGAAGGGGTTATCAGCCCCCTTGCTCCCAGCATTTTAGTTGCCTCTTATGACACACACAGCTTACAGAGGAATTCTGTTCCACTTCCCCATGGAGATAAGAGGAAATAAAGAAAAACAAGAACTATTAAGAAAATAGAAGAAAACACAGATGGGTGTGTATATAAATGCGTGTTTATGCATGTGCAGCGTGACCTAAGTACAAGTAGCAAGATTTACAGTGGTACCCCGAGTTTCGAACTTTCTTTGTTCCAGAAGGCTGTTTGAGTGCCGTTACCAAACGAATTTGTTCCCATAAGGAATAATGTAAATTAGATTGGTCTGTTTCAGACCCCCAGAAATACACTTACAAAGTGCACTTACAATAATACACTTACATAATTGGTCGAGTTGGGAGCAGTTCAAAACTCGGGGTACCACTGTATCTGTTATCCCCCGTGTGGATAGAGTTACTGTATTTAAATAGTTTTCTGTCATATACAAGTAATATTTTTGCTTTTTAGGCTGCAATTCTTTTGGCAACTGCAGTTTTGGATAAAACAAATTTCCCAAAGCATAATGAGGCTGTGATGAAGAGTGAAGATCACCTTGATGTGGCCCATCTTGCTTCTGCAGTAATGAGGCACATTGCTCAACTAGTATCCAATGCCCATGCAGTGACACAGATCATGGGATCAAGTTCAGGTAAGATTTTTATCAAATGTTTAGTTGCCATAGTAGCTTATTTTTTATCTGGCCATAAGGTCTAATTTATGAGAGAATGAAAATGAGAGAGAGAATGAGAATGAAAGAATGAGAGAAAGAATGAGGAAGAGAGAGAATGAATGAATGAAAGAGAATGAGAGAATGAATGAACAAACGAAAGAGAGAATGAACGAGAGAGAGAGAGAATGAATGAATGAACGAGAGAGAATGAATGAATGAACGAGAGAGAATGAGTGAATGAATGAGAGAGAATGAATGAACGAGAGAGAGAGAATGAATGAATGAATGAACGAGAGAGAGAATGAATGAACGAGAGAGAGAATGAATGAACGAGAGAGAGAATGAATGAACGAGAGAGAAAATGAATGAACGAGAGAGAGTGAATGAATGAACGAGGGAATGAATGAATGAATGAACGAGAGAGAGAATGAATGAATGAGAGAATGAATGAATGAGAGAACGAATGAATGAGAGAACGAATGAATGAACGAGAGAGAATGAATGAATGAGAGAGAGAGAGAGCGAATGAATGAGAGAATGAATGAATGAGAGAATGAATGAATGAATGAGAGATAAAGAAGGGAAGAAAAATATTCACTAAAGCAGTAATGTGATGGAGTAAATGGCAATGTGATGTAGAAGATAAAAACATAATGGAGGAAAGTGCAGTAGGATAGAGAAAATGGAACAAACTACTAATTAATTTTGCAATTTGTGTAAAATTGCTCCATCAAATTTTTCTAAGCCTGAAATGTTATGAGAACTTTTTCAGAGAAGACAATATTTGACTGAGAAAGAAATAAAAGGGAATATAGAAATTTTAATGTTTAAAAAGATTT